GCTAATGTCAAAATTAAAGGAAATAAGAACAGCTGCATGTAATCACAAGTGATCTTCAGAGGTCCATTAGCTTGGACTACAGGGTCTTTCCATGCTTCTCACCAGCCACCTGTACAATAGATTTTTCAGAGCCAGCCAGATTAAAACTTTCCCAAAACCTTGGGACTAGCCAACCACACTCTGACTTCCCTCCTACTAAATCAGTCTCCATGGTGTTGGCTAAGACAGGGAACCACAACCTCTCTCCTCTCTCACCTCTAACAGGACTGGGTGTTCAGCAAAGGAGCAGACCTGCATGCTGGCACTGACCGGGTTTACCACCACATGAGAATTGCTGTTGACTGTGGCTAGCCTAGTGTAGCTTAATTAGCATCTCCAGCATTGTCTGAAATAAGCAAACATACAGACAAAATTATCCTCTTTCCACAAGACACATTTTAAAATAAAATTTTCTATCTACACTTTGTAAAAGAGGATGGGAGTTTTACTAATTCTCTGAAGTGGAAGCACTCCACAGAGACAGAATTATGTGGTAAAGTGGAGCCAATTTTTACTAACTTCTCTTCCACTGTCACACTACTTTGTGAATTTTAGTGCAACCTCTGATATCAGATGCATTCTCAAGAGTCATGGGAATTGTCAGTGCAAGTATATTTAGCCATATCCCTTTAGGTAGGTGGGGAGGAAAAAGACCCCTAAATAGCTGTAAGATAACAATTACTGCAAACATATTTGCTTAGAGAAAGTTCAGTCAGAGTTCTGAGAAAATACAAGTCCTTGGCAGCTAGATGGCCGATGGCCAGCTTTTTCTCAAGCTGTCCCTGCTAATCGTTATTGAGGAGCACACTCAGAAGAAAAAAACCTCTGCTTTCCTTAGGTCATCTCCACATGCTCTAAACACTTCTTGGTGCAAAGGAAATGCTTAAAGAAGTGGCAAATTTTTTTTAAAAAAAGTAAAATCCAAGACCTCGATAGCATCTTTTCCATGGGGGAGGGTGTGTGTGTGGAAGCAAAAGAATCAAAAAAGTTCACAGCACTTTAACAGACAAGTGAAAATGTCCTGGCTTTCATTCAATTGCAATGTTAGTGTGAGTGGGGAGAAGCCTCCCCCACAGCTGCAGAAGAAAACTGTGGGACTCACATTGGAAAAGTAGCAGGGGGAGGATGCAAGCACTGTTAAAAATAAAACTTTAACATTCTCACGATTCAACTGTCTGATATCTGGTTCAACAGGAGTGTGAAAACAAATAGGTATTTCAAGAAGAGGGTCACTAGCAAGGTAAATAACTTCAAAATAGCAGAAAGTGACCAAGGAAATGTGCCAAGCTGATGGCAATAAACAGCTCTCCCCGACAGCAGTGGACAGTGGCAGCCACGGATTTCAGTGTCACCTCTGTGCAGTGCCACCACCCTTCATCCAGCTGTGTGGCCCTGCACCCACCCCCCAAAACCCTGGCCATGGTAAGACACAAGACTGAAAAGATTTGTACAGGACAACATTTAACATGACCCAGTGTTTATTGATTCCTGCCACATTCATTTATTTTTAATAGTAACAGGAACACAAATGTGATGTATGGTAAAATACTACTAGGGGTTTCTGTATCAATCCAATGCAAAGTGCCAGCATTGTTGACCAGCATACAACCTGACAAGAGAAGATGTAGTCATAACTCACTCTCAGATATCTGCTGGGAGTACATCACAATCCAAATAGAACTAGTTATTTGCCTGCAAATAGACACATTTTTTTCTAGATGCAAGTGATGTTAGAGCCAGCTATTTTGCAACAATAAATGCATATAATATATTCCAACATTTTAAAAAGAACAATAGGAAAGGACTAAAACTGTTTAAAGAGACAAGGAAAAAAGAGTGGATCTTTTCAGACACTATTTTGCAGAGACCATTCCTCATAGAACCAGAAGCAATCTAGAGAAAATAAGACCTATTATATTAGAGGCTACTTTGCTCAAAAGGTCAGTGGTTTAAGAATAAAAATAGCCTCTTGCTTTTCAGTGCTGTCTCCTGGCCTTTTTCCTCCCTGCACAACAAAAAACACCTGTTGGAAACTGTGTCTTGGTGGCTCTGCATAATTTTTAATGCAATTACATTTATAAAGGCAACCATATTTCTTAGAAAGCCATGAAAAACTTGCATGACACATACATGTGGCATGTAACATCTTCACAGATATGAATGATGAAGGCACTTCACCTAGAGGTTGGGGAAAAAAAACCCCACACAACAAAAGTTTTGGAGGAATGAAAATTAAATGCCTTGGAGAAAACACACTTTTCTAGAACTGGGTGACAAGTGCTGTTTAGCCATAGATGTTTCAGACAGTTTACCATGAAAACAAAACACAAGCAGTCTCCTTAAAATGCCCTCCCTGCTGTAGCAACCTGCTTTCCCCTACAGTTCTTCAGACAATTTTCTTCCTGCAGAGCAGTTTGCAACAATTCCAGAGACAGGCAAGAGAAATCTTCATAGAAAACATCAAGCCTGTGGATTCATACATAACCAACAACCCACCCACCC